GTTCTTACATGTCTTACATTTAAGAAAATGAAAACACTGAGTTCAATGTATTTACTTAGGAAGAAGACTCCAGATGCAGCAACAGAAGACAAGACAGAGGTTAATATCAGGCACCCCTGGGACAGGAAGGTGAGAAAGATTGAACATTTCAGGAACCCTCAGAAAATATGCCTCTTACCCATAATTATCAGGGCTCATATTATAACCTCAGGAGAAGCAAGATAATTAAATTTCCACATGGTATTTTTTAGGTTTTCTTTTTTAATTCCAATATAATTAACATACAGTATTATATTAGTTTCAGATGTATTAGGTTTTCTAATAAATATTCTATTTCTGTGTTTTGCCAAAAAAGAAAGTCTATTTACCAAATTACATCACTTCCTTGGGAGGGACAGTGGCCATCATGGTCACAGGGCACATACGGAAAGGGGGCATTTTACCCTTACGGTAAAGGTTCGGGCCTCCAGGAGGTCAGCCCCTTGTTGGGAAGTGACTGGTGTCATCTGTAACTGCACTGACCTTGCCTGTACAGGGACTTGAGGTTGTCTCCGAAGAAAGTTTGTGAAGTGTTTCAATTGCTATACCCTGTTAATCAGTACTAATTTGTCCAGAGAGAGTGGAGGCAGGAGCAGCCAGGGCAAGCATAACCACAAGGCCTGAAAGGGCCAGATGGAGACGACAGGGGAGGTGAGGGCAGTGAGGTCTGGGCAGGGGGGATGGACGCTGAGAACAAGGTAGGGCTGCGTTTGCGGCCAACTTGACGGTCGCATCTCCCAACTAGGGTTACCTTTTGTTTCCGGGAACCACGTTCAGTAACAGGTTTGAAGAGAAGAACGAGGGGGAGAGGAGAAGGAATTGCCAGTGTTCCAAACGAACCAGGAGGAAGTGGAGAAACCTTTAGGCACTGTTCACTCAACTCTGTGAAGCACCTAGCAGGTCGCCCATTCTTCTCAGTGTGTGAGAAAGACCACAGAAGGAAACCAGAAACCGGCCCCGACCAGTTAGAGAGTAGCGCGGGGGTGGGGACAGGGCGAGCTATTCAGTAGGGTGGTAAGGGGAGGCCTCATTGATATGAGCGAAGACTTGAAAAGAGAGGAGGGGGTGCTCCGGTGGGCAGCTGAGGAGGTGTGATCAAAGCAGAGGCACCGGGCGCTAGTGCGTTCGGCGGAACCGGCACCCGTGCCCACGGGACCGGGAGCGCGGAAGGAGCTGGTCGGGGAAGCGGTCACAGGGAAACACGGGGCCAGGTCCCGCGAGGCTCTCCAGGCCTCTGCAAGCATTTTGCCTTTTCTCAGAAAAACTGAGAAACGCTGCCGGGTTTTAACCAAAAGACTGACATGCTCTGCCTCATACGTTGACTAGTAATGTCGACTGAGGAGTTGAGAGAGTTGGCCATTTTTTTTTTCTCTCTGCACTTCTCCTGCACTTCAATTAGTTGTATGGGAGGGGTCGAGGGAGAGGAAGAGATTTTTAGGTCTTTTCCTTTAGTAACCCAGAGTGGTTTCCTGCACCCTGTCATTCCATTCTCTCTCTCATTGCAGGCCGCCTACTGCCAATAGGCTTCTACCTACAACTCCTGTGGCAGTAGTGTTAGCACAGCCGGCAAACGTTTATGGTCACTTCCCAGCCTTCTAGTATCTTCTACAGCCACTCTAGTATTTTTGATGCTTGAGGCTCTTTTCTTGAAATCAATCCCATACTCTCCCATTTTTCCTTTTTCCCCTTATCAACAACTCATTTTCTGGTTCCTTTGTAAGATGTTATTTATGTTATTCACATCATGAATAAGGATGCTTCTCTGAGGTCCAAAGAATGGTTAATATTAATGATAAATTGGAACAAACTTTATCATGGAAGGACATAGTCCACTCAGACTCTCTCCTCGGTCCACAGCATCTCCTGACCTAGATCTCACTATTCATTGCCCCCCCTCTGGGGACAGATTGTCAGTCTCCACAGATCACAGTAAAGTTTCTCTCACTAATAATGTCTTTCCCTTCTCGGGAGGGGATTAACCACTATGACTTGTCCCTGTTAATTGACAGAACAGACAAAAAGCTTCCCAGAGTTATTCTCAACTTCCCAGACTGGCACTGCCGTCACTGCACCAGGTGATTGGATAACGTGAGGTGAGATCAGAGAATTTCAAATTATGCCTCAGGGATTTACTGATTCCCCACCACCCATCCTCTGATTGTTGTGACTGTCACCACAGACCACAGGTCCAGCCTCCTTTAAAAAAAAAAAAAAAAAAAAAAAGGCAACACTGTGGATGACTCTCTGTATACCAGTCTGAGACGGAGGCTCAGAAGAAAAGGTCTCCGCATTGGAGTAACAACGTGTAACGTCTGCAAAGTAACTCTGCTTATCAGGGTGGGTACTGGTATTGACACACGCTTCCACACATAGAGATAGGACATTTTCTAAGGCATGAACCACACTTCTGAACACAGCGGCAGCTAAGAAATCCTACGTCCGTCTCTGACTCCTCCTATTTCAGTTGGTGTGATCATCAGTGTCACTGGTTGGCAAGGAGGGCATCCAGTTACTAGATGGTAATTCTGTAGTTAGAATTTCAGACTCCGCTTTAAGGATCAGCAGGAGTCATACTATCGTTACCTCCATGTGTGTGATGAGGGATACGACACTTGGTAAGTTCTCTGATCACAGGCACCCGCTATGTACTTGAGTGACAGTCGTCAAAATGTAGACATTTACTGCTCTTTGTTTGAACCCTGGATGTGATTAAAGGATCATCACACAGTGATGGACAATACCTGTGGTCCTTAAAAGAACTTCTCTTGGAGAAGGGAAAGCAGTCTGAAAAGGAAATTACACAATTAGCCCTAGCATACCCTAGCGGATGAAGTTCGAGGCCAAAGCTCGAACTTAGGTTTTCCATTATTGTCTGCTGGACCCTCCACATGCTGGTAAATAGTATGTTCCTTTACGCATTACAGATGCAAGGGAAAGTCAATCACAGAGAACAGACCTGGTGTGCTGGTCTGACACTTATTAACAGAAACATACACGTATTGTATTTAGTGTTCTTTTTTTCCACTGATGTGTTGCGTTTGGGCCTGATGGTCTGGGCTAGTGGCTCTGTGGTGTTCACCTTGTACAGACGTATGCAGGACGTTCTCCACATTCACAGCAAAAACCTGTCCCCCAAATGCTCTGCTGAGACCAAAGTCACCCAGAGCATCCTCATCCAGGTAAGCACATTTGTCTCCATTACCTTGCTGTCTTCATCCTTCTGCCTTTTGGTTGGCTCACTCTGCTGAACCCAGTTGTGGCTGGTGAGTCTCAGTGCACTGACTGCTGTATGACCCCCACCCTCGGTCCTCTCGTGCTCCTTTCTCTTTAGGCTCCACTTTGCCCACTGTGCAAAAGAAACTATTTCCATACACTGGTCAGGTCACTACAAATGTTAGAATGTAGGTCTCTGAATATTGTCCATTTATAAATTCATCTTTCCTCCCATATATTTAAGCACTTTATGGACAAGTCGGATTGAGAACAGAGTCAGGAACAAGACAGGGTGAGCCTGACCCTTTTTTTTTTTTTTTTCTGTTTATTTATTTGAGAGAGCACTCATGCATGAGAGGAGGAGGGGCAGAGGGAGAGGGAGACAGAGAATCCCAAGCAGGCTCTGTGCTGTCAGCACAGAGCCTGACGCAGGGCTCCATCTCAAGAACCATGAGATCATGACCTGAACAGAAATCAACAGTCGGGATGCTTAACTGACAAAACCCCCCAGGTGCCCCATAAAATTATTTGTAATTTAGCCAACAGCTAGGCACAAAAAAGGGAGGTATTCTCACTTCTACTTTGCAGTACACATCCCATAACAGAAGTGGGTATTTTTCTCACAAAAACAAACAAACCTCTCTTTCTTATAAGTCCTGCTAAATTTCCTGTCTCTACCCTTCTCCTTTTAGAATCATTTGAAACATCATGGTCATTAAATATATTCTCAGCTTTATTTGATTAAATACACAAACTCCTAAAAACAGGAGATCCCATTCTCCCCTCTCATTCTTGCATGGGCTAGTGAAGACTTTAGGAATACATTTACGATAAAGCTTCTCCCCCCCACCCCCCTTGCAGTTTCACTAGGAGAAGACTTAAGTCACCTGGGTCTCAAGTTGTTGCCACTGACTCCAGAAGTGTTTGGTGCCACTTGGATGCCCTCAAATAAATTCCAAACACAACTGCAGAAGTAAGCTAGCTGTTTGATGACACCTTCAGAACAGTCATGGGGCATCACACAATATTTGAACAGAAGAGTGGAATTTCAAAGTTGGGTTTGCTCGTGGTTGCAATCCAGTCAGAAACTCCATATATGCGTCCCTGCAATGTTCCCTGTGCTCCAGTGGGATTGGGATGGCTGGAAAGGTGCTTCCAGGTGCTGAGCTAGGTGGGACTGGGCAATTTGTGAAGTGTGCATGAGAAACAGCATTCATGAGGGTGACTGATGTCAGAGCTCTGGTACGTGGGATCACAAACTCTAGTAAAGATAGTGATGCTACTGTAACCCCCTTAAGGAGGCTGCGGCTGTGCTGATTCTCATGTGTCTCAATTCTTCTGCAACGTTTCTTTCTGAACCTATTCTCTCCTCCTTAATGCTCCTCACCTAAGCTCTCTCAGAATCAGTCCTCAGAAAAGAAGCCTTTAGGGGCGCCTGGGTGGCTCAGTTGGTTGAGCGTCCGACTTCAGCTCAGGTCACGATCTCACGGTTTGTGAGTTCGAGCCCCGCGTCGGGCTCTGGGCTGATGGCTCAGAGCCTGGAACCTGCTTCCGATTCTGTGTCTCCCTCTCTCTCTGCCCCTCCCCCGTTCATGCTCTGTCTCTCTCTGTCTCAAAAATAAATAAACATTAAAAAAAAAAAAAAGAAAAGAAGCCTTTAGTAGGAGGGTTTCCTCTGTATACTTCATTCCTTCTAAGAATCACACGGGATGTGTCCATTTTACATCCATCTTCTGCTCTGTGTTGACTGCTGATGTCTTTTGCTGTTGTGGACGGTCATCTGTTTGTTCAGTCTGTTTCCTCATCTGTCCACCTCTGGTCTTTTGTTCATATTCTCCATCCTGGAATCAGGATATTTCACTTGACCTTTACTCTTCCTCCTTTAAAGTCTTGTTGGTCTCTGTATTTGAATCTTCTTTTGATAACCGTGTTATCAATCACTAGAATCTCACTTTTATTATTTATTCAGTTGACTGAAGACGTCACTGAATCAGTATGTATGTGTCAATAGTACTCTCCGTGGTGTGTAGCATTCCTATTTTTCTTCCACTCTTTTATTCTGTAAGAGTCAGACCATTTTCATGAGCTCTTTCTTCTGTGAGACTCACTCTTGGCCAGCATGGTTTTCTCCCCTTTTTCTCTCTTCTCTCCACTGGCTGCAGTTCTGGCTGCTTCACCTAATGTCCTTCTCCTTGCACGGTCAACTTCTCCCAAAATCATTTCATATAACCTTGATTTTTCCAGAGTCTCTGTGAAGCTTGTATAGAACGGTTGGACTCAAGTCGTCTCGGGTCCTGTGGACACCATGCTTTCATGGCATCTCAGGATGAAAAGGAGATGTTACAAAACATGATTAAAAGTAGGAAAATAATAGAAATTTAGAACAGGAGTGTCTTTTCTTTGGCCTCATTTCATTTAGTCTGGTCCTCAATGATGTCCCTTCTGGACTATTTAGATGGCTTTATGGTACTCTTTCTGTACCTTTGAAAAAATTTTTTTTAACATTTACTTTTTTTTTTTTTAATTTTTTTTTCAACGTTTATTTATTTTTGGGACAGAGAGAGACAGAGCATGAACGGGGAAGGGGCAGAGAGAGAGGGAGACACAGAATCGGAAACAGGCTCCAGGCTCTGAGCCATCAGCCCAGAGCCTGACGCGGGGCTTGAACTCACGGACCGCGAGATCGTGACCTGGCTGAAGTCAGACGCTTAACCGACTGCGCCACCCAGGCGCCCCGAACATTTACTTATTTTTGAGAGAGACAGAACGTGAGTGGGAGAGGGGCAGAGAGATGGAGACACAGAATTTGAAGCAGGCTCTAGGCTCTGAGCTGTCAGCACAGAGCCCGACAAGGGGCTTGAACTCACGAACCGCAAGATCATGACCTGGGCCCAAGATGGACGCTTAACGGACTGAGCCACCCAGGCGCCCCATAACCATTAATTTGCAAAAAGGAAGTTCCATGAAAGACAAAGGTTGAAGTGCTCCAAATTGAAAGAGGCTGAGATACATAACAAAATCTATGATTCTAGAATGGATCATGGATCAGAAAAGATTACAACGAAAATATCTCTAGCAATTGGTAAAAATGGAAGTGTTTATTCGATACCATTTATCGATGTTAAATTTCCTAAACTTGATAGCAACACGGTTGCTATGATGCTTAGATGATAAACATAAAAGTATTGTGGGGTGCTAGATGGGAGTGAGCATGTTACTAATGTGTAAACACTAGGTGATGGGTGTTCAAGGGCGTATTGGTGTTCACTGAAGTATTATTATGACATTTCTAGACGTCTGAAACTTTTCTAGAAGAAAATATAAGAACAGGGGTGCCTTGGTGGCTCAGTTGGTTAAGTGTCCAACTCTTGATTTCAGCTCAGGTAATCTCACAGTTCATGAGATCAAGCCCCACATTGGGCTCTGACAGCATGGAGCCTGCTTGGGAATCGCTCTCTCAAAATAAATAAACATTAAGAAGTATATAAGAACAATGTTTCCTGCAAGAAAGTATTAAAATGCTTTAATCTTCTGCTTCTATTATCACTAGTTTCTTCAAGTATCTCAGTTTACTCCTCACGATACTCTGGTGTAAGTTCAATATGTTCCCTTATCTCTATGTAGGAATAAAGGAGTTTTTAGATTGGCGGGGAGGTGGGAAGGGGTAGGGGTACATTTAGTAGGACCCAAGAATCTGTTCTGCCTTAATGGATATAAATATAATATCCTGTCATAATAACAAACCACAGAAAATATATGATTAGCCCTCGTTACATGTCTTGACTATTCTTGGCCATATGCTTATTTTTAATACTAGTTTCCAAGTAAGCTTTTCAACTCCCCTGGGGAAAAAAAAATTTAAGAATTTTAACTGTAATTTCATTAACTCTATAGAGATTATTAAAATACCTATTGACAGTAGTTCTGTGCCAGGTATAAAAGCATAATGTATAAGCGATGACACGAGAGGTCAATGCCACCGAAAGAAAACGTTCATGTCCCTCACAACTCACTTAGAAGTGGGAGGCAGGGCATGCATTCACAGAAGGAACACCATATTTGAGTCATAAAACAGAAGTAGGAGCACAGGGAGAGCCTAGGCCAGAAGACTCTACGGGGGGTTTCTGAAAAAAACATAAGGCACGGCAGGGTGAACACCTTAGGAATGACTAGTCTGCATAATTTTGGCGGGTTCTGAATCATAAGGGTGGTCTTTGAGTTGCCAGGCGGACTGGCCCTGGGATGACCGAGGCTGAGGAACATGGCCTCCTGGTGTTCACATACAAACAGAGAAGCCTGTGGGGTGGTGTTTCGATGACCCAAAATGCAACGGCAACTGGGTGTGGAGGGTCACAAGCTCAGGGTCTATGTGAGCCTCCACTTCCAGAACGGCCTGGCACATAGCCAGTCACTTGTGGCTTCCCCCACCATCCCCGTTGTGGTTTTAATGGTGTACGGCACAAGATGGAGAGGGGGTTTCTTGTGTCAGAAGCCCTCGAACAACTAATGCCCATCCAAAGTATTAGACCCCAGGAGGCGCGAGGCTGCCAAAGCCTCTAAGGAAACGAGTTTACGAGGGCAGCAGCAGGAATGCCTGCTGATCTGAATTTGGAAGTGAGATCTGTAACGAGGAGTATGTCAGCACTAGAACCCAAAGGACTAAACAATGCTGGACTTCCATGTCCTCGATAAGTGTGTCAAGTGAGTCTCCTTGGAGGAGGACAGCATCAATGTAGTGTCACACCTGTGCTTTTGGAGAAAGGTGGATGTGTGCAGACTGATGGCAAAGCTGTCATTGTAGCCCGTGTGTGAACTGGGAAAAGAGTCTAGTGTCCCCGTTGCAAGTGGAAACAAACTGCGTTTGAGAGGCGGTTAAAATAGGCTGAAATAAACAGAACACGTCAGCCAAATCTACAAGCACAAAATACTGATCAGTTACCGATGAACAGAATCAGTAATTTTAATAATATTGGGCATGGGGCCTTCATGGATGGGACCACAGCATCCCGGCCATAGAAATTCATCACGAGGAACCCAGTTATTTCCAGAATCCAGAAAAAGCAAAATTGGGCTGTCAAGTGGTAGAACAGTGGGGAAACCACCCCCTTATCAACTAGTCTTCACACAGTAAGTTTTAACCCTTGAAGGTCTTATTTTAACTTACATTGGGCCATGTTAATATTCCAAATAGGCATTATGGTGTCTCCTTTCATCAAGTCAATTTGGAACTGTTAAAGGCTTTAATTCATTATTTTGTCAGAGCGTCCATACCCGATTTTAAAGCAATGGGTCCTATGACTATGGGAAATTGAGGCAAGGCTACCAAGGCATACTCGCTTTTCCTCCAATTTTATGTTTATTTACTTTTTGTTTGTTTATTTACTTTCTAAGGCGACAAAGGGCACAACGTTTAAATTTAGTGGGATCCTCAGATGTAACCAGAATATTCTTAAATAACAGTATCAATTAAGTCCATGGAGTTGTCATTTGGTACATTTTAGCAAATGTTAAAGTACCTTTAGAACCTAGGTTTTATGGGGCACCTGGGTGGCTCAGTGGGTTAAACGTCCAACTTCGGCTCAGGTCATGATCTCACGGTTCGTGGGTTTGAGCCCCGTGTCAGGCTCTGTGCTGACAGCTTAGAGCCTGGAGCCTGCTTCAGATTCTGTGTCTCCCTCTCTCTCTGCCCTTCCCCTGTTCACACTCTTTTTGTCTCTCTCAAAAATAAAAAGCATAAAAAAAAAAATCTAGGTTTTATAGGCACAAAACCCAATCAGTCTCTTTTTTTACCTTTTTGTTACAGAAATTTGTTAGTGTATAAATTCTGGATTTTTAATTTTTTTTTTTGAGGTTCTTAATTCTTAAATGGGGTCACAATGCAGCACTTTGCTGTAACATATATGAACACACAACTTATTATATATGAATGTTAGAGTATTAAACGTATGTATACATTATTACTCTCTTTCCCCGTTATCTCAGGGTGTGTTTCTAAATTTTTTTTTTTAACGTTTATTTATTTTTGGGACAGAGAGAGACACAGCATGAACGGGGGAGGGGCAGAGAGAGAGGGAGACACAGAATCGGAAGCAGGCTCCAGGCTCTGAGCCATCAGCCCAGAGCGTGACACGGGGCTCGAACTCACGGACCGTGAGATCGTGACCTGAGCTGAAGTCGGATGCTTAACTGACTGAGCCACCCAGGCGCCCCGAGGGTGTGTTTCTTAAACAAGTCACTGAGGGCTGGCACCGTTTGCTACTAGTCCTGGCATCTGCTCAGCACGTAGGGTTGAGTCCCCCGAACTCGGGCTTGCAGCTGCCTCAAGAGCAATCTTTACTCCTCTTTCCTTTGTCTCTACCTCTGATTCACGCTTTGAGTTGCCTGAAGGTGACTTCTTTACTTTGTGTCTCGGGCTTACAAGAAAAAAGGGGGCATGGGGGTAAGCTAAGGGGCCTGGTGCTCCCAGGCCAACTCTCCCCTGGACAGCTCATCTCCCCATTTTCTTTTTAAGTAGGCTTCACACCCAGCACAGAACAAACACAATGCGGGGCTTGAACTCACAACCCTGAGATCAAGCCCTGAGCTGAGAACAAGAGTCAGATGCTTAACGGACTGAGCCATCCTGTGCCCCCTCATTTTTTTTTCCTTAGGCAAAATCTTTTAGAATGACTTTGTCTCTAGGCAGCTGTCTATACTCCCCACCCCATTTCCCCTTTTGTCTCCTGTGTGTCCCCCAGCGTTTCCCTTTTGGGTGTCTATCGGCCCAGCTCCTGGTGGTCCCAGTCGCCCTCAGAGGGGCCGGGGGTCTACATGCAAAAGAGCAATGTGGGCAGCATCCTGACTCGGGGACCTCTGGCTTACGGAAACTCCTAGCTTGTTACCAGGCAGCGGCACCTACAAGGGCCCCAGTAGTGACAGGGACATCTGTCGTCTCTAACGAGCAGAGAAGCCTCAGGTGCTTAAGGGGGAGTGCTGGTTTTTCTTTTTACCTTTTGAAAATTTAACAGGAGTCACAAGTGTCCAAGGATGGGATCCCTTATATCCTACTTGGTTGGGGGACGGATCGTGACAACAGTAAAGCAAGCAACAAGGGATGTGCCTTTGAAACATTTACTTCTGGCTTCCCATGAGGAGGACAGCCCTCGGTGCTAGGCAGCCCCAGCAGACCCCTGCAAATCCCAGGGACTCACGCCTGGTTGAAAGCAGATCTATAGCTCATGGGGACCAATACCCAGACTCCCCGCAAGGAATGCCCTTGAGAAGGGCAAGCCCAGGGGCCCCCTGCAGACCTCAGCACCGGTGGGCAGGCTGACCAGACTC